GTCAAACTCTCAAAACATTTTTAACTTTAAAAGTTTTACTTCGACTAGTGTTTTGAACTAAAACTTTCAACAATACGGCTGCTTCGTGAAACGTCTAAAAGTGAAGTTTATGATTAGAAGGGATGAATTTATTACTCGGAGAACTATTTGTTTTACCAGCCAATAGTCCTTTGCTGGGCACGCGACTAACAATGGGCGACGTCACCTGTCGATGTCTTCTTACATATAGAGCATTTGTTTTTGCTCCTCCCGAGTTCTGTCGTTTTGTATGTTTTTCTCTTGTTTGCTGTTACGTTTAGAAAACGTTTGCTAGAATGACTGGCTGAAGATAACTCTAAAGATTGTTTAATTTGGAACGCAAGAAACTTTTTTCCAGGTGTGTTTTAAAATTTTATTGGCATCCAGCACGTGCCGATATCGGTTCCAACCTTGCACCCAATCCACTTGTGGTCTATATTTTTTCCTATTACAAATCGATCTTGAAAGTACTAATATTTATGACCAGAAAACCCTTTTCACAATACGCTAAGGTAACGGATACATATGCATACGCAATAACAAACTTATTTACCTCGCGTGCCGGTAATCAAGCAGACTTGCTTCAGTAATTCTTTAAGTCTATTTCCTTATTAAGGATCCTGTAAGAGGCTATATATTAAAAAAATTGATAAGTATGAATAAAATTTTTTCTGATATTGCCTCGATAAGAATTGTCGTCTGGCTACAGCCCTGTCAAGGCAGCATGTAACGCAACGTTAAGATTCATTTGGTCACGCTTTCCTTCTGCATTTTGGATGTAATTACTGTAAACAGCTAGGCATTACAGATGAAAAATACCGGTAGCATACCAGCCAGATACTCCACAAGTTCCTCGTACACAAATTAAACAATCTTTGTATATCGGTTACACAAATTAAAGGCAGTCAGTTTATCATTCAACACTCATTTACTATTCATACAAAAGATCTGAAATTTTGATCTGATTGGCCAAGAAAAAAATAATCCTTGGAAGACAACATTTAAACTACAGTTACCATATCCTGTGAGCAGACATCCTGTATTTCCTTTCACAAGGAAAAAGTGACGTCTGCGAGGCGCCTTCGCTAATCTGGCTCGCACTACGGTAACAGGAGTTCATAGTTATTCCATGTAAACTCTTGTCAACGCACTACATGGCGTGATATTTGCATAATTTTATTCAAGGT